TGTTGCATAGCAACAGTTTTGGAATCAGACTGTTCTGGACCAGAGAGCTGTTCTACCAGTCTCCATCAAACCCTATGCCTTCACAAATCTTGCATGGGACAATATAGACAGACTGGAGGAGACACTTACTGGATAGCGGTCCAGCCTAAGGAGTATGGACCTCTTCCACCTACGACAGAACTTCCTAGCATTGATAAACTGAAATAAAGATCAGTCAACATTGAACACGAAGACCTGGAAGTCTATGTAGCTAGTGCACGTGTAGGTCCACAGCTTCTACCAACCAGTGAGAACCACATCCAGGAAGCACAAGAGACTGCTCAAGTCGCCTGTAACAAGAACCTGGTATGGATCCTAGGAAGACAAACAACATCAGAGAGTCAGACAATCCCAGGTTAGACTGGGTTTAATATCAAAACCAAGGACCAAGAATCAATCTCAGAAGATGTTGTTGGATACCTGCCCACAGTCAATGCACCAGCTACAGAGTTGACTACAGTTTTTGAAATTCTTAAACAGTCAGATCTAATCAGAAAGGAATTGTGTCTAGACACACTTGTGGTAGTCATGGATCAAGCACTCTATGCAAAAGCCGTTGAAATTGCCTGGCAGCACAAAGAGCTATTTTCCCACGTGCTCTTGAGGATGGGAACATTCCACACTATCATGAATGCCCTGAGTATCATAGGAAAGCGATTCTGTAATGGTGGTTTGAAGGACATATGCATAGAAGCTGGGATAGTTGCGGAGGGGTCCATAAATGGGGTCATTGATAGTAAACAGTAAAATCGTGCTATCAGGGTCCACTGGGTAGCTAGGGTAGCTAGGGTGCTAAGTGCATCTATGAAGCTTTGATGAGACTGTCATGGGCAGAGTTCACACTATGGGTAGACAGCGATGAGGAGAAGAGCCCTGTGATCAAAACATGCGTTGACAAGGTGAACAGCATAGCTGATGAACTCAACCAACAGAACTTCAGTAATCTTCTCTACAGTCCAGAATTGTTAGAGTTGATGATCATGTGGAGACTTTCTGGAACACCTGCCAATTCAATGTCATTCGAACCATGGTCTCATGGTCTTTTGCCTACGATAAGGTCAACTATGCCAAGTACCTGTCTGCATACTTTTCTCAGATGACAAATCTTCCGGAGAATAATCCTGATGTACACAGAGCCTTTCAGGAAGGTAATTTTTTGGTGCAGATGTCCAGCAATAATCCCTTTGGGCGGATACCTATAGATCAGACAACTGAGGTTACAGTGAACAAAGACACTCAGACTCCTGGAGGCACGCCACGGTTTAGCCTAAAAGCAAGAGCCATCAGAAGGTACTACATAACAGCACAGCACAGCTACAGTACCGCAGCGCATTTCTTAGACACTTAAGAGACATGGTACATAGGAACCAATCGAAACTCAACCATGCTGATCTACAGCAGCCCAGAATCCAAAAAAGATGAGGACACAGTATAGGCAGTCGTCGGCCTCATTCAAGCCTGGATACACCCATTCTCAGAAAAGCAAGACCTCATAAGCATTTCGACTGCAAAATCGGCATCCAGAGACATTTCCTCTGACCTGGTGAAGGCGTGCGATATTGGAGAGCAGAGTTATGCCGCTTTCAAAAACGAACTGGAGAACGATCCACCAGCAAAACCATTTCACGATCCGATGAAAACTAACAAGCTGAAAACATTCACTAATATGTTTAAGAAGAAGGTAGTGAAAACAAGTGGGAAGAGAGATCATCTTGAAAGCTGATCGGTCTCTGTTTGGTCGCATCATCGTGATGGCACAAGGGCGCAATCTCAAGATGGAGGACATCCTCTCTCACCCCCTGGGACCACTACCCTGGTATCTCTCTACCCCAGACTGATTACTCAGGAAAACAAACAAAGCTGCCCGAGCCACATCTCTGCAGAAGAATGTGACAGTACCAGACCAACTTCCACAAAATTCTTCTTCTGTGGTCGATGGAATGAACCTAGTTCAAAGAATAAAGTGTGATCAAGCTATGTTTGGAGACATTGCCTCTACCATTCTGTCTATGGCATTAAGTGAGAGAAGTAAAAGTACCAGAATAGATGTTGTGTTTGACACGTATTAGGAGAATTCTATCAAGAACAGTGAGAGATCGGCACGACGGGAAGAAACTGGGCACCAGCTGCAGGGTATCACAAGCACACAGATCGTGAGGCAATGGAGAAGTTTCCTGACAGTGACAGAAGTAAATAACAAAACCAATCTGATTATCTTCATTGTCAGCGAATGGAGGAAGCCAGTGTATAGAGAGAAACTACATGAGAAGATTCTGTATGCAACAGTAGATGACAAATGCTACCGGATTACATCGCAGGGTAGTGAAGAGATGCCAGATCTGCAGTGCCAGCAGGAAGAAGCAGATGGACGCCTACTTTTCTATGCTGTCCATGCTGCTGGAGAGGGCTACCAGGCTGTAGTGATATTCTCAGAGGATACAGATGTCTTTATCATGTGTTTGGCATTTCATGACCAGATAGGAGCCCCGTTATTCCAGAAATGTGGAGCAAGAACTAGAACTAGATTAGTTTACATAGGAAAAGTCGCGGCCACTGTCGGCATAGATGTCTGCAGAGCTCTTATTGGAATGCATTCATACACTGTATGTGATACTACCAGTGCTTTCGCAGGTAAAGGGAAGGCAAGTGCTCTAAAATTATTGACCATCAACAAGGAAATTAGGAACACATTTGCGGAGTTGGGCCAGGAATGGGACCTCTCTTCAGAACTGATAAACAAACTAGAGTGTTTCACATGTCTCCTCTATGGTCCCAAAGCAGAATTTACCAAGGTCAATGATATCAGGTACCACTTGTTCTGTGTCAAGAAAGGTGAGATAGAGAGTCATCAGCTTCCACCCTGCAGGGACTGCTTAGTCAAACACGCACAAAGGGCAAACTACCAGGCTGGAATATGGAGAAGATGTCTCGAACAAGATCCAGGTGTACCAAGTCCCCTTGGCAGAGGGTGGAAAATTGTAATGGATGGAACTGAGCAATCAATGGTTGTGGATTGGATGGATGGTCAGCTAGCACCTGAGGCTATCTTGGCCCTACTGGCCTGCAAATTTCTAGGTAAGTGTACACTGCCAAATTGTGTCTGTCTGGCAAATGAACTTAAGTGCACTGATATGTGCAGACTGTCCGACTGCAATAATCGGTCACCAGATGATGGGGAAAGCACGAACGAGAACGACGATGTGGATGACAATGAACTGGACAGTAATGATGAGTATTAGACTCATCATGTACATTTGACTGTAGTTGGACACTTGTTACAGCCGCTTTTGTGTCTTGGATTGCATTATTATATGAAGGCTTTATTGGTTTAGGTGAATAAAGAATCTTTGACTAGTTGAAATAATAGACACAAATTACTGTTCTAACTGCTATACGAACTTGAAAACAGCAATTTTGGTGGCCATTTTGCATTTTGGCGGCCATCTTTGATTTATTTTTATCAAATGTGTGTTCAATGTTTTAGGTAAAGACAGAAATAAAATCTACGACTCATAATACCTGGTCATAGACACCAAAATCATTATCCTAGCTGCTCTAGAACATGATGTATAGCTTAGTTAGCATTTTGGCGGCCATTTTACAAAAAGGGAGAAAACTGACAGAAAGCTGCCACCCCCACAATGCTATCACACGTTTTGTATACCTTCTCAAAATTCACTATAAGCATTCTGCCCCTGATTTGATACCGGTGACCAAAATTTTGGACCGGGGCTGATGGACTATATGTGTGTGTGTGGGCGCGTGCGTGCGTGCGTGCGTGCGTGCGTGTGGGTGCGTGTGCGTGTGCGTGTGCGTGTGCGCGCGCGCGTGTGTGTGTGTGTGTTCTATTAATAGCCATGACATTTTTATGAATGTTGTTACCTAATCGGTCTTGTGTGTGTGTTTGTGTGTGTGTTCGTGTGTGTGTTCGTGTGTGTGTGTGTAGCCAGTCTGCGCAGCGCGATCGATAGCGCGTCGAGTCAGCGAGCGGGCGGCGCGATCTTAAGACAACGTTATTAAATAATTTTAAATGGTTTTCTACATTTCAGAGACGTATTACTATTCCCCACTGTACAAATACTGCCATGAATTGGCATCCACATATGGACCTGTGATTCGGCTCAACTTTGGTCTCGTTCCCTGTGTCATCATTAATCGTATGGATAAAGCCATTGAAGCACTAGTGACCAAACAGAATGACTTTGCTGGACGCCCAAAAAGCTGGACGGGTAACCAAGAAGTTCCTCAATAATCTATATGAAAACTAGCGTAGGTTGAGTTAGTATAGCTGAGAGGGTCTATGTCCCCCGGGGTACTGCCGAAACGTACCCTGGGTACGGTCCGGGATACCGAAACGTACCTTGGTACTATCTAATATGCCGGACCGTACCTCGCCTACTCCACTAACGAGTCTATGGAGTTGCCTACTCCCTAACCCTAACCATAACTCTAACCCTAATTCTAACTCTAACCATATCAAATAGTGACCAGGTACGTTCCAGTATACCGGAGTGACCGTACCCAGGATACGTTCCGGCAGTACCCTGGGGGAGATAGACTCTATGAGCGTTAGGGCTGGTATGTATATAGTATATAGTATTGTTCCTATTTTATAAGTCAAAAAGACCACAAGTGCGTTTGTCTCTTAGTGTGTACTATTCGCAGTGTTTGATGTGATTTGAAATCTGTTGTTGATAGCGGAAACGTTTTCGGAGGGATATAAAGACATTGCCGTAGGATTGTTTAATCCAGCGTGGCAGCTGCAGCGCAAACTTGCTCACAGCGCATTCAGGTGAGTGAGTGGCGATTCTATCGCAAAACACGTTTACTATGTTATTATCTGTTCCTATAGTGTCGAGTACGGTGTTTGCCTGGTCGTATATCAAATGCGTTTATTCGTTTGGTTAGCATATTCCTATCGAGCTGCGCTGATTGTCAAACAAATAATCTGCCATACTGCGACGCCATCCTGCATGAGGTCATGCGACATCGACTACCTGCCCCTATTGCCCTACCTCACTGCGCGACCATAGACACGACAGTTGGTAAGCAATTTATTCTATATAATTACTAAGGTAACCGGTGTAAATTATTGCAATTCTGTCAGCCCAAGCTATCTGATGGATGATATCACACATTATGCAGCTATTTTGTAAATAAGTTAGCCTTTTACATGTCTTGCCGGTTTTAATTTTCATTTCACGAAATAACGTAGGCAGTGTTGTCAAATTTTGTAGCAACTGTGACAACCTACATAATGCGTGGATTGCGGGAACATTAATAATCAAAACGTGGTTTACTCTATTGTAAGTAGCATCTTTCTTTTGGAGTCACGCATATTTTGTGGACTACTAAAGTAGCTAGCATCGATGAAGGTGTTAGAATTCGTCAGTTACAATTATATAATTATCATGCACATATAGGTGGTTATGACGTCCCAAAAGACACGATGGTGATGTTTAACCTGTACGGACTCCATCACGATCCAGCATACTGGACTGATCCTGAGAAGTTTGATCCAACACGGTTTCTTGACGAGCATGGCTCCATCAGGCCCAAGATGCCTAGCTTCCTCCCGTTCTCTGCCGGGAGACGTGTTTGCGTTGGAGAGTCCATTGCTAAGATAGATCTGTTTGTGCTCTTCGCATGTTTCCTACAGCGATACAGCTGGAATGAACTACCAGGGGAAGTTACTGACGTGGAACCGAAGATTTCTGCGATCGGAATGGACATCAAACCATTTAGGGTTGTTATAAAGAACAGGCTTTAAATGTACATGTCGCAATCTATGTGCAAGAAACACTATTTCGTTATAAATTTAATAAACATGCAATAACTCTTCTGTTAAACAAGCTACTTCAGGGATGGCAAAATGAATGCATGCCATGAGTATAGCGTTATCGTGATGACAAGTTATTTTCATTTTTATAAATTGGATTAAGTTCAACTTCGAGATTACTGTAGGCCCTATACGCCATATTTTTCGCGTACATGCATTTTCGCAAATTCAGACTTGACGGACAATTTCGCAGGTGGTTAATTTCGCTGTCGGTGAATTATGAATTATTCGGTATTATTCGGTATGAATTATTCGCGTGTTGTTATTTTCGCGGTCGGGAACTATTCGATACGGAACAGATTCGTAACAGATCTACGGTTATTATTATAGATGAAAATGAGTTAGTAGACTAATTTAACAACGTTAATTTTACCCACCAGAAACTACGTTAATTAAGTTGCTGCACGTACCTTTTTAGAAACATAACAATATATGGCTCACAAATGGACAATCCACAAGAGAACAGCCGTACGGCTCGCTACAAAGGTCGCGCGAATACAGCTTGTTGGCGAAAGCTAATTAAGTTAATTAAACGTGTTAATTGCGTTGTAACGTTAGGACGAGTGAACAGGATAACACAGCCTCTAGCTATATATCATCAAGACCTAATATAACATGTATCATCAGCTCTTGATATCGTAAAGAACGTGTCTTTAGGTTAGCTATGGCTTGATATGATAAGATGGAATATCAATAATGACTTGATATAATGGAGATGGAAACAGCAGTGAAACACGGACATTTCTTACATTTTAGTCGCAGTAATGTAGCCCTACATGGGCCATAAATCCTTGACCTGCTAGTAGTTTTTCTACGCTGGCACATGCACTTGCGAACTTCGTGACGTAAAAAACACATCAGTTACGACTAGCGGGTCTAAGGAAGGAAGATGACGATCACCGTCCCAGAGATATTATTCCCTAATGTTTGTCGACGGAGAGAGATGTCTTCTCTAATAGCGATAAAAAGAATAATATATATTGGTAGAACTGATCTTTGATATCTTCCGAGCGCAGGGTCTAGCGAAAGCAAATATTTACATAATATTTACACACGATACACACACACACACACACACACACACACACACAACACACACGCGCACACGCACACGCACACGCACACGCACACGCACACGCACACGCACGCACACGCACCCACACGCACGCACGCACGCACGCACGCAATGACGCACGCACATATAATCAAGAGCAGATAAAGAAGGTCCTTCTTTATCTGCTCTTGATATAATATATGTATATATAAATATAAATAAATAAATATAAATAAATAAATATGTATATATATATATATAAATTCTACCTTTTCCCATACGTCATCGCATAGATAATGTTATATACGCAGTTGTACACATAGCTTCTTGGATCAAAGGGTTCGTCAATTTTATCAAAACCTGCGAAACATCATTGAAGCTGCCGTGGATTCTCTGCACCAACACGTCCTTAGAGGCAAAGTGCCTGAAATCGTGGCACAATAAAAATGAAACGGGGTTGAATTATCTCCCACCCTATCAATAGGGCCTATTATATTTTTTAGAACGAAATTAACGACAAGGAGTATTATGTATTATTGACGAGCGAACGGGAAAATAATGCTACATAATTTGCTTTTGGTGTATATGCTACACATTCATGTTTCACTCATATACGATCACACATCCTTTTACCAAACGTGAACAAAAAAGCGTGATTTTTTTGGACTTTTCCACTTTCAAATTGCTGTTTGTTTGACAATCAGCGCAGCTCGATAGGAATATGCTAACCAAACGAATAAACGCATTTGATATACGACCAGGCAAACACGTACTCGACACTATAGGAACAGATAATAACATAGTAAAACGTGTTTTGCGATAGAATCGCCACTCACTCACCTGAATGCGCTGTGAGCAAAGTTTGCGCTGCAGCTGCCACGCTGGATTAAACAATCCTACGGCAATGTCTTTTATATCCCTCCGAAAACGTTTCCGCTATCAACAACAGATTTCAAATCACACAAACACTGCGAATAGTACACACTAAGAGACAAACGCACTTGTGGTCTTTTTGACTTTATAAAATAGGAACAATACTATATACTATATACATACCAGCCCTAACGTCATAGAGTCTATCTCCCCCAGGGACTGCCGGAACGTATCCTGGGTACGGTCACTCCGGTATACTCGGAACGTACCCTGGTCACTTATTTGATATGGTTAGAGTTAGAATTAGGGTTAGGTTATGGTTAGCGGTTAGGGAGTAGGCAACTCCATAGACTCGTTAGTGGAGTAGGCGAGGTACGGTCGGCATATTAGATAGTACCAAGGTACGTTTCGGTATCCCGGACCGTACCCAGGGTACGTTTCGGGCAGTACCCCGGGGACATAGACCCTCTCAGCTATACACTCAACCTTAC